CCCTCCCCTCCCTAGGGGGAAACGGGGGGCCCTTGGGGGCCGCCCCCCCCCCCCCCCCTTTGTTCCTACTTACGCAGTAGTGACTAAAAGAAACATCTCGGTCTCTTTGTGAGACACCATATTTGTATATCCAAGTGCAGTTCTGCTTTCTTTTTATGAATTCATTTCCAGTGAGGTGCTTTCCTGTGCTTCAGCCTTTTTCCAGCATGTGACATCCTGAGAGACGGGGAATTTTCCTTGATACACGCAGATGACTTGTTCTCTCAACACTTCACAGTGACCGAGAATCCCATGATTGGGGATTAAATAATAGCTTTCACCAGTGTGAAATATGAATGCCAGTTTTGGACTCTCCCATCCACACCGTTAAGTGAGACACATAGTCTAACAATACACATTTTCAGTTGGCCCCGTATTTGCAAATGCTTTCCTGCTCAGGCTTGTAAATCTAGGGACTTTCACCAAGCTGAGGTACCCAGGGGTATCGGAATTCTGGCGTATCGGCGGATTGTTGGCACAGGACAGACCTCTTCCACTTAGAGCACATGCCGAGCTGCCTCAGTAGCAGTCCAAGTATGCACTGGTGCCTTCTGCTGCCCCACCAGACATGGCTATTGGTCCATCAGCTCTGTGAGCCAGACTGGACCTGTTACCCAAGGCTCAGAAAGGTGCCAAAACAGACACCCAGCTGCGGACGTTGTTTAAGCCCTACCCTCAGGTGAGAAAACACGGCAAGAAGCAGTGCCAAACTTGATCCAGGATTCTCCAACACCAATGATTTTGCTCCTGCCTGTGCCGATTTCTGCCCTGATGCTTTTCAGTTTTCTGTAGACACAGACGACAGTCCTACATCAGTCCCCTTGGCAGGGCATTCTGAGCACTGAGGCAAGCCACTATTGCCGGTACAGCCTGGTCACAAGAGATACAAATCAGAGAACCAGAGGGAAAGTTCAACGGGGAAGCCTGCGTCAGCACCTATGGGGAGAGGACAACCACTTTCCACCACCTCCAAGACCTTTTCTTCCAAGGATTCTTCCCAAATCCCAGTGACAGCAAACAGAGACAAAGGCAAAGGAATTCCACCTCCTCCAACTTAGATCAAAGGAGACACCGGTCATCACCATGAGAAGATGACTCCGCATCCCAAGTCACTCTTCTATACCACCACCTACATCCCTGTCATCAGTCCCCGAGCTCGTATGCACCTGTAGCCACGGCTTTCTCCCAGGCCTCCCAGAGGATCGTCAGACAGCAGCTCATTACTTTGGTCCCATTAATATTTATCTCCCTGGCATTCAGGTAAGCAGAGCACATCACAGGGAGGCGTAAGAGTCAGCCTTCCCCTTTTCGTACCTGGTTTTGGTCTCTCTCCTCTCAGTCATCACTGCTGAAGGTGCACGGTGGTGTCACGAGCCGCCCCTCCATTTGACACACTTGATTTATTTTCCCAGCAGGCCAGCCCATTTCAGCAGCAGCTGACATGGATACAGGATGTCAGCTGAGGTTACCAGCACAATTCGTCATTCCACAGTGCCTCCTCTCCCTCCCATTCCAGTAATCCCTCTTATGAGGGTCCCCTTTGGGAGGAGTAAAGGAATACAATAAAGTTAGATGGAGTAGGACGGAAGAAGATGGGAGTAGGAAAGGACAGAGACATGTTTGAGTAGAGCTGTTTGATCACAAGTTTCATCCACATCTGGACAAATATAAAATTATAGAGGCACCCAGAAACAACTGGCAGAGCTGTATGAGGACCGCTATTTCCATAGAGAGTCTGAGACCCATCTCCTGGAATCAGAGCACGAAGTGCTTTGAGTACCCAGGTCAGACCTGTAAGTCCAACAGTCAGCAAAGTACCCAGAAGCAGCCCCCACCACATCCACCAAACCTGTGCTTACTGGTAAAAAAGACAG